ATCAGAGATTTTGCTGCACATTGACATGATAGCATCACACAGTTGTTGCAGATTTGTTGGCTGTGCATCCATGATGTGAATCTCTCTTTTCACCACATGCCAAAGTTGCTCTGGGATCTATGGCTGTCTATGCCATTTGAATACAGTCAGCTCATTGTCTTGTTCAAGAAACCAGTTTGAGATAATTTCAGCTTTGTGAAGGGATGAAAATGGTCAACAACAAAACTCAGGCAGACTGCAGTGTTTAAATGCTCAGTTGATACTAAGGGCCTCAAAGTGTGGCATGAAAATATCGGTCACGCTATTAAACAGCCACCATTGGCCCTAACCGTTAATACAATACAAGATAGGACTGTGTTTTTATGCTATTTACAGAAAATTGTGGCCCTACCGTGTGAATGTCACAGCGGAAATCGATACTCATGAGACCAGAAAACGTTTATCAAATTTTCTATCCTCTAAATTTAGTGAGCTCGTGTGAACTGCAGCCTCAGTTTCCCGTTCTTAGCTGGCATGAGCAGAATCTGTGGTGGTCGTCTGCTGCTGTAGCTCATCTGCTTCGAGGTTTGCCACACTGCATGTCCAGAAATGCTGATCTACACAGCTTGGTTGTAACAAGTGGTTATTTGAGTTACTGTTGTCTTCCTATCAGCTTGAAACTATCTGGTCATTCGCTCTAATCAATAACGCACCCAGAGAACTCACACTCACTGATTTTCCCTTATTCAGACCATTCTCTTTAAACTCTAGAGACGTCAGTGTGGGAAAATTTTCTTCCACTCTGATGTTTAGCTTGAGCTTGAACACGATGTCTCAAGACCATGTTGACATGTGTAAATGTCGCTGCCTGTGATTGGCTAATTGGATATTTTCATTCACGAGCAGTCAAACAGGTGAACCCCACAAAGTGTCTGGTGAGCGCGTTAATGACGATATGATTATGTAATTATCTAATAATAAGCATCTTTTGTCATCTTTTAGCATAATAAAGCATAGCATAACATAACATAGTAAATGTTAATAAATGTAATAGCTGCAAAAATGTATACTTGACTGCAAATAAATGTATAACAAAATGTATCTTATAAAACTAAAAAAGTTAATTTGTTAACAGTTACCCAACTGATAAATGACTCAGACTCACATATGTTTGTGAATATTATGAAGAATTGTAAGAATCGCAAGGCTTTTATTAGCGTCTCTAACAGTCTATAAACAATAAATGGTTACATATAAGTTTCTATTAATATCCTATGACCTTAAAATAAACCTGGTTGTAATGTTTTTAGTAGCAAATGATAAATATGTTAAAAATGCTCGTCACATATCAGCTAGCATGTTAAGTGTTGAGTTGTCTGCTCTCTTCATCTGAACAAAAATATCGTTAACTTAAGAAGAATCTACTAACTATAAGTATATAAATATAATGTAGAGTCAAAACATTACAATATGTAAAGCTTTTAAAATTTAGTATTATATGAAGGTATATTACATGTGCGTGTCAGGTCAGCTACACCCACTCTTGCACACAGGATTAACAGAGGGACTTTGAGGAATATGATGAGTGGAAAAGGCATTCCTGCCACTCCACACACGCGCAGTTGCACAACGACACTCCCTCCTGGCTTAACTTGGGGGGGTGTATGTTCGATGAGGGCACTGGTTGAGGTGAGACGCACACTCCTCCCTCAGTGCTTTATTGCCTGACAAAAGCTGTGTATGAGTGCATAGCACCAAGACCAAAGCAGTCAGAGGGGAGACTTCTCCTCCATTAGTTAGTCATTTCAGACTTTGTAGATTAAGGAAATGGTCTTTTTGTACTCAGAGGGCATTTTACTCAACTGTAAGAGGAGAGGAGAGCAGAGTCTAAATGAGAGCTTGGTAAGTTTGTTAAAACTTTGTTGCCAGATTTGTAAAAATCATCATATTGGTTTAAGAAGGTATTATCTGTTATTGTCTTATGGAAGCTTGATAAAATTATCCTGTGTGTTAACTGAAAGAAAAATTGTGTCTCTGTACAGAGCAGATTTTATGGCAGGGGAATTTCTATTAATCCAAACTCCTACAGCACAGTGCACAAAGCAGAGGCGCTTTTTCATTTGGAGACAGGGTAATGTTCTCTGTTGTAGAAGTGGTCTATCTCGCCTTTTGTATACTTATTCGATAGTTACAATTAGGACCATCCTGTGAAGTAGACTTTCATGCATGCATTGCTTTGAATAATTACAATATATCAGTTTTAATCTTAATTAAAATTCAAGACTTTGTGAATCTTTTTTTCCCCCCTTGGTTCAATTCTCATCTGAGTCTGCTTTTGTCATGAGGTGAAAAAGGAGAAGGAAACCAGGAAGCTGAAGACTGATACCTGCTAAAATATGAATATACCTCCACAGAATATGTATTTATTCATAGAAACACTTGAAACACAACGTTTTTTCTTGTTGCTGGAATTTGGCATTTGTGGCTTGTTTTCTGTATCTCGGGGGAATATTTAAAGCTCTCAGCTGTCTCACACTTACTAGGCGAACCTCTCTGAGAACACCAGTAACAATCTTAAGCATTGCAAAATGTATAATTGCGCATTATGTAGAGGCTGTAGTAAATGACATTTTTAGCAGTGTACAGTGTAACTGCATTATGAATAAAATAACTGTCTCTGGCAATCTGGATCAGGGGATGTACCTGAGGGACAGATTAAATTAAGCACAGTACTGGCTGAGGAGGTTTAACTTATTCACATATGATTAGGAACGTGATGCCATCAATGCTGTTCTCCTTTTTCTCCATCTATTTTCTGTATGACTGTCTCCCGATTTTTATTTTTCTGCCTTATATTGAAACTCACTGGCCTGGCTGTTAGCAGTTGGCTTATTTTTCCTCGCTGTGTTGGAGGTTTTCTGTATAACTGTCATGTGTGAGACTCGGAGACAGATTCAGAACTCGCACAGCTTTTTTGCTGGAGCTTGGGAAACTGAACACACGTGAGAGCGAGGGACAGAGAGAGCGAGGAAGAGAGACAGCGAGAGCGAGAGTGAGGGAACAGGGGGAACAGATAGGGACTGAGGAAAGATAGAAGATAGAAGACTGAGGAAAAAGTCCAATAAAGATGGAGACAAGACAGATTTCACGGGGAGACACAAATAATTAACACGGGTACACAGAGGGAAGACTGGACATGAAAAGGGAACTAAATAAAACTAAACAACAAGGAACAGAGAATTAACCAAACTAAGAAACAAGGAAATTATGCTCAGGAAATAACACATTATCTTAAACCTCATTCCAGAAATACCTAACAATTTAAGACAAGCACAAACTACTTGGTCACAAACCCAGGACCATGACAGTAACAGGATAACTGTTTATAATTTTAAGAGGACAGCTTTGATTTTCAAGGAAAATGTTTAATTCTTATCTGGACTTTTGATTTTTAGGGCACAGTGACTCAAGTTACCCAAAGGTAACTTTAAATTCTTTACATGCATTTGTTGGGTTACACTAGGACAGAGACTAGGGTCAGACCCTGAAAGAAACTTCAGGATTTTGCTCATATTTCTAAAACAGCACAAAGCATGGATATTGAAATCTGATAAGTTGATTTAGTGCCGATGCAGCACTGTAAATGTCACTCTCTAAAGCTCAGATCTGACATTAAGATGCGATTCCCCAGCATACCTGTGTGCTTAAAGTGCTTTTGGAATGTGTAAAGTCAAGTTTAGTTAAGAAAAAGTTTGCTTGTAATAACAGTATTCATAAAATGTGATTCTTTCTCTCTCTTGATACAATAAATAAAGACTGCAGAGCAAGAGGTGAATACCTTCTAGAAAACAACAAAACTATAACTCACGGTTTGAAAACAAGAAAGACAAAAAAGATCGAGACAGCATGGAGACAGAGCTGAATGGTGCCAGGATCAAGGTGCTCCTGGTATCATGATTCAGTCTGTGTGGGCAGTCAGAGACAAGCGCTGACATCTCGGTACATCTGCTCCACCAGCCGTTTATTACCATTTGTAATAAATTATCCATTATTGTGGAAGCCTGCTGGCTTACAGCTCTTAAAGTGCTTGATTTGCTAAATTGCTAATGAAACAGCTGTCATATTTTTCAATTCTTTCCCTCTTTCTTCTTCTTTTGTTTTTTTGTCAGACATCTTGCTTTGAATTAGCAGGATAATATTTAAACGTAGAAACCCTGATTTTTTTTTTTTGAATTCATAGTCATTTTTTCCCCTTTTTTCAACACCAAATGAACATACATTCAAAATTATTTTAACTAACCAAAAATACACATATATATCTAGATCGAGGGGTAACTGTGGTGTAGAAGACAAATTGCTGGGATCAAGTAGCTCACAGCTGTTGGTGGAAATGTTTCTTCATTGTCACTGTCCTTTTTGGAAATAATAATACAAAAAGGAAACGTTCTCCCATTTTATGTGACTGTTAGCCCTTCTTCCTGCCTTAACCCTCTCTGCCCCTCTCAGATCATCTCAGACCTGGAGTCATGGAATGAGGAACTGTCACAGCAGATGAGCGACTTTGACACGGAGGATCTCACACTGGCTGAGCAGAGGCTGCAGCATCATGCGGACAAAGCTCTTACCATGAACAACCTCACCTTTGATGTCATCCACCAGGGACAAGAGCTGCTGCAGTATGTCACGGAGGTCCAGGCGTCTGGTGAGTTAGGGAATATAAATACATTTAAACCTTGAGTATTTATTCAAGGGGGCGACCCAGTGCCAGTCGTTAGGGGAAATTCTGCGCGAGCTAAAATACCCTCGGGAGCTCAGTCCCTTATTTGACTTCTGGTAGGCCAAACCTTTGCTACTGTCATTTCCCAGCTCATTCCTCTGCTCATGCCTTCCATGAATAATTTGTAGAGTGTAAAAATAGGAAGCCATCCAGCTGGGGCTGCTGCTGTTGTATGGATGCTGGGAAATATAGTGATGTATAGTATAACCATCCTGATTCTGTTAGAAAACCTTTTTCAGTGTTGGTAACACAACAGATAATCCACTTTCTGCAGGTGTGGAGCTGTTATGCGACCGAGACGTGGACATGGCCACACGGGTTCAGGACCTGCTGGAGTTTCTCCACGAGAAGCAGCAGGAGTTGGATCTCGCCGCAGAACAGCACAGGAGACACTTGGAGCAGTGTGTCCAGTTAAGGCATCTGCAGGCTGAAGTCAAACAGGTATGTATGTGACTCAGGGGAGACAAAGATGCAACACTAAAGCAGCGATTAAGGTTTAACTTGGGTTTCAAAAGCTCTCTAAAAGCAACACAGAAAAAAGCTAGAAAAAGACCAATGACTGCATTATGCTTACAAAGCCTGAAACTGTTTTCTGACATCTGCTAACTCATAATATATTTATATATTATGAACTGCATATATGTGTCCCATACATATAGTCACACATGAATATTCACAATGTCTTCTTTTTTCCTGTAGTCACGCTGCTGAATGGAAATCTGTTCTGGCAGTTCAGCGCTAACATACTGAGAATCTGCAGCAGAGAGTGATAGTGCGGCCTTTTAGCACATACTATGTTGTGTCTGTACATGACCATGGGTAGATGACTCATTCTGTGTCAACAATTTCTCTCTGTCTCTCTCACTCGTTCTTAACTGTATTCATTCTGCTTCTCCCAAAAATATTCAGTAATGAGCAAATTTAGTTTGCAGTGCAATAATTGATCCATCATTAAATTTTCATCAGAATACTAAATATGAATTTCTTTGACTCCACTTTGATCTGTCCAGGTGCATGGCATCATGCATTATGACGGATAGAGATTTTCTCACAAGAGCGCTGTGAAAAATGAAGTACACTTTTACTGCTTCCTTAGGAATTAAAAGTGCAAGTGGGAGCCAGTTGCTGCTAATCAAATGCACTTGATTAATTGTTATCAGCAAGTGTGAGCACCTCTATAAAAGCAGACGTTTTGGCAGTTTGCTGGTTTTCAGCATTCAGGTCTTATCTTAGACTATAAAAAGCTCAGTGAGCATGTTAAAGTTCATAACAGTAAAATTAGAAAAAGACTGAACAAGTGTGGCTTGTTTGGAAGAGTTGCGAGGAGAAAGCCTCCTCTCTTTGAAAACAAAATAGCAGCGCAGCTTAGGTTTGCTAAGTTATATCTGAACAAACCACAAGACTTCTGAAATAATGTCCTTTTGACAGACAAGACCAAAGTGAAGGTGTTTGCCACATTTGGTGAAAACCACCGAGTACAAACACCTCATACCTACTATCATGCACGGTGGTAGAGGGGTAATAATTTGGGTTTGTTATGAATCTGAATGCTTTTGTCAGCAATGAACTCCTCTGTACACCAAAGGATTCAAATGTGACGTCATGTCTCAGCTACATCTCAAGATGCAACAATAATCCCGAGCACACCCGCAAATCTGCAACAGAATGACTGAAAAAGAGCTGAATCCAGTGCTGTAACGACACAGTCAGAGCCCAGACCTCAGCGCTGTAATGGGACTTTAAGAAAGCTGTGCTAAAATGAATGCCAACAAACCTCAATGAACTTAAACAAGATTGTAAAGAAGAATGAACCAAAATCCCTCCATAATGATCTGTTTTAATGACGTTTCTCTCATGACTGTATTACCCACAAACGTCTTTCAATATAGCTAGAAAAGTCCAATCAAAGTAGCAACTTTGAAATTTGGTGTAGTGTCCACTAATTTATTGTACATTTAATGCACAGAGCATTAAGAAAAATATATTCCTATTTGTTCAAATACTTGAATAAACAGCAATGTTACAAAGAAACACAAGAAAAACCAACAATCCTGACAAAAACAGATGTGGTTTCTTTCCTATTGTTTTGCATGTCATCTAGTCATTCCCTAACAGTATCTATTCAGTAGTGGAACCCAATTACAGCAAGACAATCATGTGGAGCAATCTTTCCTGCTGCTATCTGAAGCCAAAACATCAACAAACACGGAGGCAATTTTCACAACAAGGACTTTTATTGTGGCGATGCAGCCAAATAACAACAGTCTTAGGCTTGAACTTGAACTAAAACTAATGAAAAAAAATTTGGTTGCTGGAAAAGAAAATAATATTGATACTCGAAGAGGGCCGCGTCAAAACATTTCAAATGCACTGCCGTCACAATGATACGACAGCTGACAGAATGATGATAGCGTGTTAGCATGGAGTTAGTTTTCATTCAGTTACTGAATGGAGTTGCTCATCATTCATAGAGAAAGGTTGCTGCAGGTGCGGCTCTTTTACAGAGCGTGATGATTGTTTATTCAGCTCATGTTCAGCTAGAAAATCTGAATTGGGATGGAGATCGTCAGTGTGGTTAGTGCGTATTATTTCAGGAATTTGGTGTAAAATACACTTCAACAGCTTTTGCCATCCACTCTCTTACACGGGGGAGCTTAGCTATTACACACCCTGCTCTGAATCCTCTAACTGCACCCTTTTACAGTAAAGCCGGGAACAACAGTAATCTTGTAATTGCAGCTTGTGTGTTTATGCTGCTGAACTATCTCTAAATATTGCTGTGCTGAATTTACCAGTGTAAGTTTGTGTGTTTGTTTTTTTTAACCCAAACCCAGAAGTAGTTTCTTATTAGGTCTGCTGGAGGCCTTATAATAGAAAAGCGGGAGCTCAAACGAAATAAAAGGATTGTAAATAGATAAAGCTGTGTTTTTATGCCATGGTTTGATAAAGTATTGAGCTATATTATAAAAGAGTTTAGTGTTCATTCACACATCTGTGTTAAGCCACATGTCCCCACAGCTCCTCTGAGATTAAAAAGCTAACCTCATACCTGCCCCGCCTCAGGTCGTTGCAAGTGCAATGGAAACACTGACCCTGTTAAAACTTCTCAAAAACAGGTGTCAGTGTTGTGTAGCGTCATTAATTCTCTGGCCACGCTTCATATGCAGTTCTGCTACCACCCACTCAGCAGGCGTGCATGCTGAGTCAGAGAGAGTGAGCGAGGTGTCTTCGAGAGACTAACCTTTGGCTAGAATTGGGCCAGCGAAAAACAAAAGCAAATGTGATTTTTGGGCGCTGCAGGCAGCGTGTGTGCAAGGCGGGGTAGAGTAGGTGGTTTGGGAAATGTGCGCAGGGTATAATTTCAAGATCAAAAAGTTGGAAATGAGCATTTCTGTCACAGAGTACCGACAGTAAAATATAGCAGAATAGAGAAGTAGCTAAAAAATAAACGACCAGTCCACTTTTTTTGTTTTTCAGTTGTTTTTAAAATGTTATAATAAATTTAATCCCACTCTTTTCGAAGATAAATAAATACACTCTCTGTTGTGCTGTAGGTGCTGGGTTGGATCCGTAATGGTGAGTCGATGCTGAACGCAGGTCTGATCACAGCCAGTTCCTTACAAGAGGCCGAACAGCTGCAAAAGGAGCATGAACAATTTCAACATGCGATAGAGGTACAAGAAACTCAGCTGTCTTTTTTTGCTTCTGTGTTTTTTGTAAAAACTTAATTCCCCGCCCTTCCCCCTTTCACCAGGTTTACCTTGATTCATCTTTTAAAGGTCTAGTTGCCTTTTCCACCCTCACTTCTGCTCCCGTGTCGCTTTCTTGCCCTTCATCTTCCAACCTTTTGCTTTTCTAAAACTCTTTTTAAGGCTGATATCGCTGCACACGGCCTCTCCTTCTGATCACAAGTCAGCCATGAAATGGAATTATGAATAACCAGCATCTATACCCCTCTCTTTCTTCTCTCGCTGCTTTTACCTTTCCCCCTTATTTTCCTTCTCCTCTTTACCCCTAATTATTCGGGGTGCATTTCTTTGAACTCTATTGAGACTGGTTCATTTTAATGCAGGCCTGTGCCTGACCTACTTCTACGACGCTGACATACATGCGACAATTCACACATAGAAGAACATTGTTTTTTATTGTTGTGTAAGTCAGAGTGGAATTTTAACACATGCTGCACACCCCTGATTCCCACCCCAGCACTAGTGAAGGGAAAAAAAGCAATATCTTTCTTAATTGTACACAGCAGATGCTTCGGACTTAAGACTTATCCCACAAAAATATTATCAAAGGTAGCAAGATATCCTTAATTTTTTTCTTTTGTTTATCCTCGACTGCCCCGAGTCCAGCAGGAAGCAAAAGCCTTACTCTCGGGCTATGCACTTTAACTCAAACATCACCAGATACTGTTTTTTTTTGTTACCCTCGATCTCATTTCCTCTCCAAAATGCTCACTCTAGGACAGCCTTTATGACACAGCTATAATCAGACACAGCTTTTGTTTATATTGCCTTTACTTTGTTGCTTCCCAGTTCACAGATCTCTACCAAAGTGCCCCGTGGGGCCAAGAGGAAGCTGAGGTCGAATTTTCAAAGCAATCGTTGTGATATACAGATTCATGTACCGCCTGAAATTCATCGTTTTTCATATCACCCTTCCCCTGCGTGCAGAAAACCCATCAGAGCGCGCTGCAGGTACAGCAGAAAGCTGAGGCTCTACTCCAGGCAAACCACTATGACATGGATATGATCAGAGACTGTGCAGAAAAGGTATTGTTGCTTTGTGTTGTCACTGAGGGAAAATAGTGTGGGCAGTGCAGTGGCTGGTAACGGTAAACTGATTTATTTTGTTTGACTTGAAGGTGGCAGACCACTGGCAGCAGCTGATGCTAAAGATGGAGGACAGACTTAAGCTGGTTAATGCTTCTGTGGCTTTCTACAAGACCTCTGAACAGGTATTATTGTTTGTGCACGTGAATGCATATGAGTGTGGGAGTGGGTGCCACCAAAGTAATATCTGATCTTAATGTATGAGTAAGTTTAGTATAAATTTAAGTTTAAAAACATTCTCTTTCCCTGGTAAGCATCAGTCCCCAAAGTTAGTGCCTGCAGATTTACATTCGGATAAGAAAATTGCTTCCAGCAGCTTGAATTTGCACAGGTTGCATGAAAGTGTAGACCAGGAGTGGATTACTGAAGAGCAGTTTTTTTTTACAAACTGCATTGTGTCATCTGTGTTGTAGGTGTGCAGTGTGCTAGAAAGCCTCGAGCAGGAGTATAAGAGAGAAGAAGACTGGTGCGGTGGTGCTGATAAACTGGGCCCTAACAGTGAATCAGACCATGTCACTCCCATGATCAGCAAACATCTGGAGCAGAAAGAGGCCTTCCTCAAGGTGAGAACGATGATTTTATTGCAAATACAAAAATAAACGTCAGCGTTTTAAGGGGGTTAATGTGGCCTGGACTGATCCAGAATGGCATTCCTGCACAGTAATTAAATCTGACGGGCAGTTTAATGCAAAATAAGATCAAGTGAGTTCATTATTAATGTGTTGCCGCTTGTTGTTGCTAACAGCTGCTACTGCTGAGAAAGTAATGTTAGCCTTGATCCCATCTGCACAGTCTACACACATTTTATTTACTTTTTGTCCTCGTCAAGCGTACGCAAGCGTCAGTAAATGTTGGGGTCTTCGTATTTCAGCATCTAGCTATC